AGTCTCAGGATCAAGAATCACTTTCAAATAGAAAGTAGCTCGTCTTCAAAGTTTAACACAAAGAGGAAAATAAAGCTCATACTAGTTCGCTCCTAACTTTAATCAGATTGCTTTACATCTAGGTAACAAAGATCACACAAGTGGCAACAGCCAAATTTAAAGTTCTTTTTATCTTGAAACACTATTGAAATTGCATTGCTAAAATAATTATAACTAAAGAAATATTTTCTTGTGCGAGCTTGAACTTGAAATAACAAATTTCAATCAGGAAGCACTGAGAAAAATTATCAAAAGGCACAAAATAAAACTACTAATTAATTGGACCATGGGAGGGAAATTGACAGGAACATGGAGCTAAATTCAAACTCAGCTTGGTATTAATGAAATACTCCTGGAATGATCACAGTCCACTGGAGCAAGATAGACTTGCTTTATAGATAAGAAAATGTGGTCCAGAGAATATGGTGAAGACACAAGAGATGGTAGCCTGATGTCCTTGATTCTGAGTTTTCACATCTGTAGAAATCCAAATGTGTCCTACTCTACTTTACTTTTTATTTGGAAAAAAGAAAAACATTGTCCTGATAGAGGCAGGTGAAATGACTTTCCTAGGACACACAGCTAGTTCCAATACTGGTCTGGGACCAGTTCCGTATCACTGTTTCTCAAAGAACAGGGATTTGGGGCAACCTCAGGCTATGGCTGCAGAATCCCTTTGGGGGAACTGAAGGTGGGGTTCCACTGATTCAAAACACTAGAATTAAATATTTGTTGAATCACTGAAATACGCTCAGAAAAACTACAGGGTTAGTTCAATAGTCAAGAATTGGAAAATCCTTAAACTAGATGATTTAAAAATGCAAATGAATTCTGTAAATATGACTTTTTGCTGTTACCCTTGGTGTTTTGTCCACCGTGTATCTTCTTTTAAGTAAACTCTTAGGTTATCAATATCTAGAGTATATGGTAAAAGGCATTGGACAGTTTCAAAAAAAACATAAAATCTTAAAGTGTTAGGATAATATTCTAGTTATGACTAAGTCAGAATTCAGGTATTCAGTCATTCCATTAAAAAATCTATTAGAAAAGGAGTGGTAGGAAATAATTTAGATAAATGAGGTTGGAATTATGCAGTTGCCCACTTGATTTAAAACTCTGCTTACCAATTAAATATATACATATACTTATATATATGTATAAATATAGATCCTATATATTAATTAAATATATTTCATATGTATATGCACTGTTAACATACAGGGCATGAAACCACAAACCTCTTTAGATTGGTAGAAGATTTCTGATGTTCACCTTTGTGACTCTTTGTTGCTGAATGAATATTTTAAAATATATTTAATGTACATTTCTGGTACTATTCTCAAATATTTGAACAAGTCTTTATAAACAAGGTCATATTTGAGTTTGGGCTTAAAAGGTGCATTTTTTAACCAGGTTAAAAAATAAAAAAGAATTGCAGGGGCAAGGCAGGTAAACGGAACAGTACTTGCAAAGGCACAGAGATTTGAAAGTAGTCAATTTGGGAAATGGCAAGTGACTCAGGATGTTTACAGGTTATGTTGGCCATGGAAGGGTGGCCAGCAAGAAGGGTGGGCAAAGAGGAAGCAGCTAGGTCACAAAGAGCCAGTGCAAATGAATTTCATGCAATAAGTATCCTGTGTATAAGGTATTTCATCTTGGAGGTAAAAGGAAGGATAGGAGGGCCAATCTCTTTATGCACCATATAGGAAAAGTTATTAGTTTTTATGAGAATATTGTTGAAAGCTATCTTTTTAAAATTTATTTTTTAGTTATACATGGACACAATTTTGTTTATTTATTTTTATGTGGTGCTGAGGATCAAACCCAGTGCCTCACATGTACAAGGCAAGCGCTCTGCTACGGAGCCACAGCCTCTGCCCTGTTCAGAGCTATCTTGTGTTGAAAAAGGAGATACAAAAATTTTACTAAACATTGAAAATATTTTGATTTCATAAGCCAGTAAAACAGATAAATTTATAGTGACAGCATGGCCTAGATGTAAAAATATGTTGATTCCTAATATTTTTAAAAAATTCTTTTGCCTTAAGTAAAAAAAACATACAAGGAGACAATGAGTAAAATTTGTATTTTATTGAATGGGCCTTAATCATGAGAAAACTAGCAAGAATTAGGCCTTGCGTCTGCTGTTCCAGCCTGGGTGAAAGAACTCAGGGAAGAAGTACAACCAGTTTCAATGGCCTGTGGGAGCTAAGTAGGGAATAGAAACAAAGGCCTGGGGTTCAGTGACTTTTACTTTATAATCACTCTGTCATGGTGGGTTGCTGGAATACAAGCCCTGTCCTCCTCTGCCTGCCTTCTTGCATTCTGCATCTAGAGGGAACTTCAGTGTAGATCTGACAACCAACCGGGTCACTCCCAGAAAAGCCACAAACACTACATCTATTGCCAACCATATCACTCCATCCTGAGATGCGTGGCCTATGACCAAGTCCTGCCCTGGGGCCAGGAATAGGAAAACAGAATGGGTGTACACCAGAGCTGGCTGTTTTGCTTTCCTCTTTTACTTCTGTATCTGAAAACCTGATAAATGTGTGTTTACTGTGTTCTTTAAGTTCCAGAAAAAAAAAAAATCTGCTAAACCATGAAGATGTAGAAGAAATGATTTTTTTTTTTAATCTATAATTATCTCTGTCCAAATTCCTCCAGCCAATTCAGAGAAACCATGTAAACTGGCTTGCTAATGAATTTGGACATGGTTCTTGGAAGAACAGGGAGACACCAAAGGTTGTTTAGGCAGAGGAGTGCATAATCAGATCTGAGATTTAGAAAGGTAGCCTGGCATCAGCAGGGATTGAAGAGGTCAGGCACTGTAAAGGAAAAGGTCCATTTGAGGCCTCTGCAAGGATGTAACAGATGATGAATCTCTGGCCTATACCCTGGCTGTGGACAAGGAAGCTAAGCAGCACAGAAGGGAGGATGGTGGGGGCAAAAAGAGAAGATGGAGAGGATGCCAAGGATTTGGGCCAAAAGGCTGGAAGGCAACAATTAATCACCCAAAAGTGAGTATTAGCTAATCTCATTATTTAATCTGTCATTAAGTGAAATTGGATTTGCAAGCCAAGGAATTTAGTTAGCCTTTTCAAGATTTTGGTATATATTCACAAAGTAAACTCCAAGAAAGTTATATCAACTTTTTATATTTTGAGTAGCTTATTCAGAGGCAGAACAGTAAAATGGTTCCTGACACTGCAACCATCAAGGGTTCAAATTCTGGCTTAGTCACCTAATAGCTGTGTGAACAATAAAATCTCATTAGGTATCATGGGACTGAAATGAGTCATTCTGAGTCAAGTGTTTAGGTTACTCAGAGCATTGCCTTCAGCTCAGTGCCTGGCATGTAGTCCCCCATTTAGTATTATCTTCTATCCCTGTCTTGTAGTCAGTGTGGGGAAAACTGAAAGACTAATTTTAAAGAAGGGGGACCTCAGCTCACTGTCTTCTTGTACTCAACATTGCTAATGTTGCTCAGGTGGTGCAAACAAAGAAATGCAAAAGTGCTAAGGGAAAACAAAACAAAATTTTCTCCTGAAAAAACTTATAAGAGAAAGGTAAACACAAATTTCCAGGCACAGGGGTTACTCTGAGGTGCAGCCTTTTGAAGACCATAGAACTTGCTTATAAATAGAACATCTAAACAAGCAAGAGCAATTTTCTCCTTTCGTCTTCCCTCACTGCCTAATTTTCCTCTCATGCCATTTGCATAATGGATAAAAAGGCATCCATTATGCAAATAAATGATGAGGCTACAAGGTTGCTGAAGCCAGCAGCCTGGCTCCAGAGGAAGAAAAGCTGCCACCGAGCCCTCCAACACCCTTACTCCAGCAGACTGCTTCACTAGCTGGGTTTCCAAAAGATGGAGGAAAATCATGAAGACCACAGGTCATTATTTTTTATTTGATTTGTTTTAAAAAGGACATTGAGATACTTTTTAGAAAATCAGGACACAATATGGTTATTCAGTGTGGTTGTATGTAAAATCAACTTAATAGTATATATTTTATTTCAAATAGGGAAAGTAAGTCCTATGTACAGTTTTTGCAATTTTAAACATATGCTGTGCTTTCAAAAGTGTAAGATTCCTTTTTTGACATGGGAAATGCCTGTCCTTCAAGTTTGAGAATTAAACCCTGGTAGATGCATTGAACATTCTCAGAATGGTGTGAACACATTCAACAGGAATACATATTAAGTACCAAAATATTGGTGGGTTTTCAAAAACTTCATGCTGTTAAACTGACCTAAACTTCCAAGAAGTATCACCAAAAACTGATATGTTTTTTCTCTTGGAGTTGTAAATTGATTACAAACTTTACAAGAATGTCTATTTTCTCTTTCTACAAACACCTTCAAAACAAATATCATGAAAAAGAATTCTGAGAAAAATCACCAGATGAATTGTCCTTGTTTGAATAAAGCAGCAGGAAAGAATTTCAAAACTAACTTCAAAATATTTTCCCCAGAGTCTGAGATATATATTAGAAGAAAAAGAAGATGGCTAAGAAAGAAACTGACCTTTATTTCTAGTATGGATTCTTTGGTAACCCTTAGCTCCGCCAAATGACTTTTTTTTTTCAGGAACTTTTTTTATGTGATCCTCAGAAGATATAGTCAACCTCATCATTTACAGTCTGACTCCCCCCACCCCCACCCCTGATATTTCTTCAAGGACATGCAATTCAGATTCACCTTCAGTTCAAGGAAAAAAAATGCATATACTTACCTGAGCACCAGCAGCTGTAAATAATGAATATATTATTATAATATATATAATAAATTATATATATATATATATATATATATATATATATATATAATGTTTTAGAGAAAAGGAAAACCCATTTTTTTAAGAAAAAAAATTATTAACAGGATAAAAGCAACACAGTCAATAAGATGATGTGTTTTCAACCAGGGGAAAAGCATACCACTAAAAATACACGTACCTAATTTCAGAGCAGAAGGGGTTACTTCAATTTCCCCACCAATTGGTTTAAACGCGGCCAGTTGGGCAGCCACTTCTGTCTCAAAAGCATCCGGGCTCTGCCGATCTGCAGGGTTTCCGCTGGGGCTCTCAAACTTGTGGAGGGGTTCTTGTTCGTCAAACACAGCAATCAGCTACAAACAAGTCCAACAACACTAATTACTTTATAGGACACACATATCTAAGGGACACTGTATCTAGCTGATTGTGATCTTTATTTGATTTTAAAGAAAATGTCCTCTTCAGTCTTGAAACTTTAATGTTACTGTACCACAACTCTTAATTCTTCAATAATATTATGTCTATAAACACCATGGTCAGGACATAATGAATGGTTTGTTCTTTTGTTTATTTTGTCTATTCCTAAAATAGAGAACCAATTTTGGCTACCTCTCTTAAAGGAATGAAATGGCTGCCTCTTCCCCTTACCACTTTTCTCTAATATCCCTAAAAAGACTTCATTATCTCTTTATTTCAAGAATGTTCCCCAAAATGAAAGTTAAATCTACAAAAGTTGAACGTAAACATTCCAGACTCAAAGGCTAAGACACATTACAAAATCCCAATTATATCTGTCCTTCTAGACACAACTAAATCCCCACATTCTTACAGATTGTTTGTAAACAGTTTGTGTTTATCTTGTATATGTAGATACCCAAATTTTTTCCATGCTTATTCAAGTTATTCTTTTCTTTCATGATTGACTCTGAGTGGACTAGGTTAACTTCAATGGATGCTAATGCAATGAGACTAAACCTTCACATTTTTAAACTAATTATATCCATTTTCTTCTTAATTTTATTTCATATAAGAGAATGCTTATCATTAATACAAAAACATGAAATGTCTTCTCCAAGTCATTTTTCATTAAATAACAGCAAAATATTTTAAAATTTGTACTAGTCATGCAGACAACAGACAAGTCCTAAGGGCAGGTCCGCTGAGACTGCGTTATTAGCCAACAGGTTACCCCACCATAGAGGAACTTTATAGGTTTCTCAATAGCTGATGCAGAAAAGTCCAACACAAGTTCATGAAGAAGCTAGAGATGCTACTGTCAATTCAGTGAAGTGCAGCGAGTGTCAATGTGAAAACTGCTGGTAAATCTTTTGATATTTTTCATTCATTAAATAAAACAAACCTACTTATGATTCAAACATTTATTCAGGAAAGGCACTCAAAGCCCCATTCATCGGGGGAACCTTTTTGGCAATAGTATTAATAACACAAGTGTGGGGGTAACCAATCAAAACATCATAAATTCCAACTTCAGTCTTTCAAAAGAAATGAATACAATTAGGGATATGTAAATTGGCTATTCAAAAATAATTTTCATAATTGACTACTCATTTCCAGGATGGAGACTTCTTTAATTGGAGAATCCAACAATCCTCACCACAGAAAAGAAATGCTTGCTCCCAAGGCATTCTTTTTAATTCTTGAAATTGAGCACAAGCATTTTCTATTTTTAATTGCTAGCACTGATGAACTGATTTGAGATAAGACTCAAATGGATTAATAATGAAAGATTATTCTAGTATAAAAATAATCAGTGGATCTATATATCTTTCTAATCATCTGGCCAAAATGAAAAGTTTTAACACCTTAAATCCTGAAAAGGAAAATAAAATCAATTTTTAAAAAGTTTGATGGAATTGCTATTTTCATCACTATTTCTACACCATAATTATAAATTCAACTTTGCATACTGGTGAATTCTAACACATAATAATGATATTAATTTCAATATACAATCAACTAGGCAGTGGTAAATTATATTGGCACTGTGAAGAGTTTTATTTAATACGTTGTACTTTTCTCTCTTGCTACATCCTTAACTGCAGCATAATCCATGTGCTTTAAATATTATGGTAAAGAGAAATAGAATATCAATCAGAAGTATAACACAAAAACCTAAAATTGTTAACTCATAAGTTAGATCACATTACCTATGCATTTTCTTTTAATAATACTTCACTGTTTTCCACACATTATACTCACACAAGGTTATAGCATATTTAGTAACCATAGTATACCTATTTGTCAAATGGGAGAACATAGCACTTTGGAGATTTTGTTTCCCAAGGTCATAGACTAAATGGTTTCTGGTAATAGAATCAAGTCTTTTTTATTCCCAACCCAGGGTTTCAGATCACAGTGTGACCTTTTTCAAAACCAAAAAGCCAAAAAAAAAAAAAAAAAAAGTGACCACACTGTAGAATACTTATATTTTGTTCGTAAAGGCCTAAAATCCTAAATAATATGAACTTCAGTTTTCAGTGATACAGAAACACATGACTCTTCTTGCAGATAATAACAGAGAGACCTGGGTATTCCCCAAATCTCATATTCTCTTTGATTAATTAATTATGTAACCTGTCTCCCATTCCCCTGATTGCTAGGAATTTCTTCAGCTAAACTTGGTTTGGATGAAAGAAAGTCTTGGCTTCTGGGAAAAGGAGAACCAGTTTCTGAATCGGTGGTGCCCATCTAAGTCACTGTCCTCCAGATGCTGGCTGAGAGGCTCTCTCCATCTAGTCTTCATCTCAACATTTGCAATGCACATAGACTTGTGTCCACATGGATAATTCATTGAAATCGCACATTGTAGATTCTTGTTAACTAAATTACTTGATTCATTGGAACACCTACCTTACTGAGCAGCAGTGTTCCCAGAAGACAGTGCTTCAGAGATGCAGTGATTAGCATTAACTTGCCCTCTGGTCCCTCAACAGAAGGCATGCTGGTTTCCAGAGCATCCAGGGCATGAACATGGCCTAGCTTACTTACCTGCTTTTAAACATATTCACACATTCATGAAAAGGTTTCACCTATAGTAAACTTCTGTGGCTTGTAAAGGAATTTTGAGACACCTCAGGAGGTGTAATAACCTAAATTTCACACAAAATGCAAACAGGCAATGATTGATTTGGATGCGGTCCTCTGCGGCTGTACCTTCTGTGTGTCTTCTGGTCTGCACTTTCTTCGCTTGCCTTCCGGTACCTCACAATCCCTTGTGTTGTACTTTAACTTTCAGGGCCTTTATTAAATTTCCCTTTGCTTATTCCTCTTCATTTCTCAGACTGTGTTTCAAAAAATGCTAAAGAGCATATGTCTAAATCCAGGCTCAGATAGTCAAGTTCCTAACCTCTCAAAAACTGAAGAGATGCTCTTCCAAAGCTTTCCCATGGTCATTTGAATCCCAGTTAATAGCTTCATTCTTCCAAATTTCTCAGGCCAAAAAACTTGTGGTAATCCTTCAACTCTCTCCCTTCTTCTTGCTCTGTCTCTGTCACTCCATGGCACATTTGATATCTCAAAAAAATAATCAGATTCTGACCACTTCTCACCACCTCCACCACCACCACTTTGGACCCAGCTACCATAATTTCCTTGTGTTACTACAACAGCCTCTGGACTGGCCTCATTTCTACCCAGGCTTCTTTCCCTCAGTGAAGGAAAACTCAAACCAGCAGCCAGAACCATCTTGCTAAAACACAAGTCAGACCATGTCTCCTCTGACCAGACCCACCTCACCTGGATAGAAGACCAAGACGTTGCACTGGCCATTAAGGTCTTTGGCTCCCCATAACTTATATGATCTTGTCTTCCAATTATTCTCTCCTAAGTTCTCAGGGCTCCATTCCTCTGTACTATCATCTTCATTCCTACCACACTGTCTTTATATTTTCTGTTCTCCCTGCCTGGTTTTCCACCAGATACCCCATTTCTTTTTTTTTTTTTTTTTTTTATTTCCTGTGGTGCTTAGCACCAAACTCAGGACCTTACACATGCTTGGCAAGTGCTCTACCACTGACCTACATCTCCAGCTCAGAAAAGCCAAACAGTTCAAAGATCAAAAAGAAGTAAAATAATTTTGCATAACTTAAAACGTTCATGGTTGAATAACAGATTTTTTATGATGGAACGGGGGATATGTGCAACTTTGCACTTCCAATATCTGCTCAAGAACTCAGACCTGTGTTTATACTGGAACAGTAAGGCAATTTAATCAATGTCTAGCTGGTCATGCATCACCTAGCAAGGTATGCTTGTGTCCGTGTTTGTGTTTTGTGGGGGCTGAGAAGTGGCAGGAGTAGAATGCTAATTTCCTTGATAAAATTCCTAATTTGCCCGAATTCTTAGCACAGAGCCCGTCCACAGGTACACAATGGAAGGCCAAATTTAACTTATTTTCCTAGCCTAGTGATCATTCCCTGGCTTCCAGAGTAGTCCCACTTGACTTGTTTATCCCTATTCTGCTTTTACTTTGTTGTTTCTCTTTAATCTCTTCATCACAGCATTGACAGAGGAACATAGAAAGTACCAAGATCAAATGCATCAAATGGGTAATTTTGATTCTTATTTTTTTTGGTCTCACTTTTCATCCCACGACAACACACAACCCTTGGGCATGTAGTCTTGCTCTTCCACGGTCTCTCCTGTGCCGACCATAACTCGAAGTACAGTACCAAGGCCTGTAGCTTCTATGCTGCCAAGTAAATATTTTAACAATAAATGCCACCACATGCATTTATTACCAAGTTCCTCAATATTCATGGTGTGGTTTATTCTGTTGTCAACTTGTAGCATTCTGTCACTTTTATAGCCTGAGACTTTATAATCTGATGTTATTATCCTTAGCCTATGTAGAGAATAAAAAAGAGCCATCCAAATGCTCATAGAGCATAATAAACTACATTTATAAAAGCATTTTATTAGTAATTACACTGAGAAATATGTGGCTCTATTTTAATTACATGTCAAGTGAACTAATGAACTAATATAAAGAAAGGCTTCTTTGCTGTACTGAGTTCTTTGGGTTAAATTATTGAACTTAACAATGTATTGCTATTTTTTGCTATTTTCTACACATTCCATGTTACCACTATCAAGTAAAATTAAAAGACAAAGAGAAAAAAATCCTACAAAGTAAAATTGGAATCATTTGTCTCAAATCTTAATAAACACAATTAAATCTAAGTAAGACTGTGAAATTACAACAATTTCACAAGTAGGGGAAAACACATTATCACCTTTGAGAGGGATTGAAGCACTGCAGAATTTCATTTAAATGTATGCATCTGCCTGTAACTAAATAACAATTGGCTATGAGAACTAATTTTATGCCACT